ATGACCCAAAATATGCAGCTGGGTACGGTTTAGGTTTAGGAAACACACAGCATTGCAATGTACAATGTAAATATCAACAACATGTGAGTGGCAAAAGAAGGACATCACCCATTGATTTTGCACTGGGCCATCCGATCCTGGATGCCCTAATAGACATACCTGGGTGTTGCCATGTTTTCTAGAGCTCTCATTGGATAACATCATCAGGCTGTGTAGTAAGATCTAATTTATCTATAAGCTTATGATGTTAAACAGGGCATAATGTCTCATTCTGTCAGGGGTTGAGTGAAGAGTTAATTGTGCCATGGGTTACTTGGACAGAGCAAACCAAGTCAGAATTAAATTTTGGGACAGAGTCTAGCACTCCACCATCTTCAACCCCTTAGTGACCAAGGACGTATCAGGTACGTCCGACAAAAACTGGTCGTTAACGACCTTGGACGAACCTAATACGTCTGCGGCACATTTGAGCGATCACTTCCGAGTTGCTCCACGTGGTGCTCGGCAGTGAGGCAGAGGAAGCCGTCAGGCAGGCTTCCGATGCTCTGCCTGTGCTGAGTGCCTCGAGGGGTCGAGGCACTCAGTGAAGATTAAAATTATTTTTAAAAAATAATAACAAAAACTTAAAAAAAAATAAATATTAACCCCCCTTCCCTCCCTCCCTCTCCCTCCATTCCTATTCACTTAATCGATCGCCGCAGTTTCTCCACCGGCGATCTGTGTTCTTCTCCATCGGGGGACTGTTTGACATAGTGTTCCTTGCACTGACTGAACTGACAGGCAGTCGCCTGCTGGTGAAAAAAGTAAAATAAAAAAATATAAAGTTATTAAATAAAAAAATAAAAAAATAATATATATATATCTGTATATATGAGTTATATATGTGTATATATGTATATATGTATATATATATATATATATATATATGTGTATATATATATATATATATATATATATATATATATATATATATATATATATATATATATATATATATATATATATATACATATAATATCTATATATATTATGTATATATATATATATATATCTTATATATAACGACATACTAAGTGTATTTTTTTATTAATATATACATATATTAATATAAAAATACACTTAGAGTAAAATTACACACATAGATATATATATATATACTGTATATAATAACTATATATATTGTATATATATTATTATAAAAAATAATTAAAAATAAATAAAGGAAAAAATTAATAAAATATATATATATGTAATTTTATTCTAATTGTATTTTGATATTAATATATATATATATATATATATATATATATTTATATCAAAATACACTTAGAATGAAATTATATATATGTCCATATACATGTCCATATATATTATACATATGTCCATATACATAATTACATAAATAATTTCATAAATATACACGTAGACTTCAAATATATAAATATGTATATATATTTAAATTCTACGTGCATATTTATGTAATATTTTTATATTACACTTGGCACTTTTCCTTCATTCAAATGGAACCGAATGCTAGCTCCCTGGTGGCCATTCACATGAACCAAACCCACGAATGGCCCTCAGCGGTACTTAGCCACGAATGTTATCAAATGTTATGGAACTTTGTCTGGGGTTTTGAACCACTTGACTCGCCAAGAGAGCGCTTTTTGGTGGGAAGGTGCCTGAGACTAAGAGGAACAAATGGAACCTGAGAGCCAGACGGAGCACCCCGTGTTGGGGCCGCAGTAGCTCCCGAATGTTGACCTGCCAAAGCACCAAACAGGGAGCCCCGCTACAGTATATAAATATAGATTCATTTTTTTTTTAATGCTTCTCCCTCTGTTGATCACTTCTCACTTGATCTGTGAATTAAATTTAGTGGCTATCTTAGCTGTTCATCTGTTGGCCGTTTAGTTTGTTTCTTCCACAAAGCGTTTCGGAGTTATGGAATTTGGACTAAACGCTGATCACTTTAAAATTCGGACAAATTACAATTGTTTTGCATCCGAATGCACAAATCTAATAAGAACTACAGTGGAATTAGCGTTTTTCATCCTACAATCTCTTCCCCAGCACCTTTAATTCATGTTATCCTTCAATCTTTGTGAGATTTGCTGAGTGCCACTTTTTCTAATCCTTGTGCCCTGCCAGGCTGGGGATTACAGATAGCCATGCTCATCGTAGTAAAGCACTGTTATCCATACTGAAAGAAGTGTCAGGAGGAATCAAATATTCCAGTTACTGAAAGGACGAGAGAAGACAGCTCCGTTAGTCACTACCAGGCAGGGCCAGGCAACCTTCAAAACTCGAAATGTTGTGGACAACAACTCTCTTGATGTTCTACTATCATTATAACTGCAAGAGCATTATGGGAGATGTAGTCCACTACATCTGGAGAGCTGGAGGTTGCCTACTCCTACTATAAGGGATTGATAAAGGTGACACAGAAATGCCTTTCCCTGAACTATTCACAGCTACAGCTCAGATTTATCAACTGCCTTCTACCCTCTGAATTTCCATGGTTTAATTAGTGAATTGTTTTTTGTTTTTTTTTATCATCTCACAACAAAAATAGAAAAGAGTTGATTCCAAAAAAGTCCCAAAAATTTGATTCTCAGTTTCAGTAGAACTTCTTTAATAATGAATGGGTGAAATATCTGTTAAAGACATACACAACAAAACAACCATTCATCGATGCAAATCATTTATTAGAGAAAACATTCTCATCATCAACATTAAATGGGATTATTCAAGTACTAATTGGAATGCAGTGAATTCAAAACAAATTGCAACATTTAGCCGTAAAAAGATTATTTAGAAAAAATCTCTTAAGTCATTGGTTTTACATCCGTGGCCATTAGGAATAAAGAGAAAGATGTTCTACAAGGACAAAAACCTGTGAGAAATTGGAACATAGACAGGAGGAATAAACTGATTTTTCGGGCATTAAAGTGAGAATTTAAAGTGAATTTCAATTATATGGCTAACGTAGCTACACTGAAAGTATAGCCGACTTCACTTCTTATTCCACTTCGGTGATTTTTACCTTAAATTTGAAATTAACTTTAAATTCACTGTAAGTTAACCAGTAAATAACCCTGGTGATATAATCAATTCACCAACGTGGATATTATCCTAAATGGAATGGATTTATTAACACGCCTTTGCATTGCGCGTGCAGATACGATGAGTTTACGCATACCTAAAACACCCCTCCAATGCCGAATATTAATTAGCAGCGCATGTGAGAGGCAGAATTTCTACTTTTTCATTAAAAATGATTTGTGTAAAATTATCCTTAGGAAAATGGGATTATGCTCCCGTACCCTGTTGGTAAATTACAAAGGAAAAAAAAAGTATAAAAGTGAAATGAAGGCAAGATATGAGGGCCATTAACCTTTTGAGTGCTGCAGGGGAGAGCAACGGTGGCACGCTGTCAATCTGGCTGCAAGACTCAAGCTTCTGGCACAGAAAGGTTAAGACTACGTACATCAAATAAAATGCTCCCTAAGCATATCTCGCTGCTCCAGATATCGCCTGCCCATTTAATTTGCTAATGTAACTTAAGAAACATCACCATACATTACCTCTAAGGCATCACAAGAGACATATTTTAAATTCATTCTTTTAATGTAATTGTGCAGCCGATTTCTCCTTTATGGAGCTCTGATAAATAGCTTCCCACCATGTACAGTAATGATGTTTACATTAAAGCTGAGGTTTTCTGGAAGCTTCCAATTACCGCAGACATTTAGGTGGAATGTAAAGAGGATGGAAAAAGGCTTGAGCATAAAGAGAGTCAGCGATACCGCCGACATTAACGCACCTATTTGACATGCAATAGCAAAATATTTAAAGGGACAGCAAATGGGGGAAGAGGCGCACAAGGGCGGAAAACAAAATTAATCTGATAAGGATTATTATTATTACACAGGGAATCAACAAACAGATTGCACAGTTTTGTAAAAAGATAAGAATGTAAACAATGTTAAAACAAAAAATCAAACAATGCGAGATGCAAGAAGAATGCAAGAATCAGGGATGTTATTATAATGTTTCATGAAATGTACAGTGAGAGAAGCAGGGATGTTATTATAATGTGCCGTGCAATCTACAGTGAGAGAAGCAGGGATGTTATTATAATGTGCCGTGCAATGTACAGTGTGAGAAGCAGGGATGTTATTATAATGTGCCGTGCAATGTACAGTGTGAGAAGCAGGGATGTTATTATAATGTGCCGTGCAATCTACCGTGAGAAATGCAGGGATGTTATTATAATGTGCCGTGCAATGTACAGTGCGAGAAGCAGGGATGTTATTATAATGTGCCCTGCAATGTGACAGTGTGAGACAGCAGGCCGTGCAATGTTAGAAGCAGGGATGTTATTATAATGTGCCGTGCAGAAGCGGGGATGTTATTATATTGTGCCGTGCAATGTACAGTGAGAGAAGCAGGGATGTTATTATAATGTGCCGTGCAATGTACAGTGCAAGAAGCAGGGATGTTATTATAATGTGCCGTGCAATGTACAGTGCGAGAAGCAGGGATGTTATTATAATGTCTCGTGCAATGTACAGTGAGAGAAGCAGGGATGTAATTATAATGTGCCGTGCAATGTACAGTGAGAGATGCAGGGATGTTATTATAATGTGCCGTGCAATGTACAGTGCGAGAAGCGGGATGTTATTATAATGTGCCGTGCAATGTACAGTGCGAGAAGCGGGATGTTATTATAATGTGCCGTGCAATGTACAGTGCGAGAAGCAGGGATGTTATTATAATGTGCCGTGCAATGTACAGTGCGAGAAGCAGGGATGTTATTATAATGTGCCGTGCAATGTACAGTGAGAGAAGCAGGGATGTAATTATAATGTGCCGTGCAATGTACAGTGAGAGAAGCAGGGATGTTATTATAATGTGCCGTGCAATGTACAGTGCGAGAAGCAGGGATGTTATTATATTGTGTCGTGCAATGTACAGTGAAAGAAGCAGGGATGTTATTATAATGTGCCATGCAATGTACAGTGCGAGAAGCGGGATGTTATTATAATGTGCCGTGCAATGTACAGTGCGAGAAGCAGGGATTTTATTATAATGTGTCGTGCAATGTACAGTGAGAGAAGCGGGATGTTATTATACTGTGCCGTGCAATGTACAGTGAGAGAAGCAGGGATGTTATTATAATGTGCCGTGTAATGTACAGTGCGAGAAGCGGGGATGTTATTATAATGTGCCGTGCAATGTACAGTGCGAGAAGCAGGGATGTTATTATAATGTGCCGTGCAATGTACAGTGCGAGAAGCGGGGATGTTATTATACTGTGCCGTGCAATGTACAGTGAGAGAAGCAGGGATGTTATTATAATGTGCCGTGTAATGTACAGTGCGAGAAGCGGGGATGTTATTATATTGTGCCGTGCAATGTACAGTGAGAGAAGCAGGGATGTTATTATAATGTGCCGTGTAATGTACAGTGCGAGAAGCGGGGATGTTATTATATTGTGCCGTGCAATGTACAGTGAGAGAAGCAGGGATGTTATTATAATGTGCCGTGCAATGTACAGTGCGAGAAGCGGGGATGTTATTATAATGTGCCGTGCAATGTACAGTGCGAGAAGCAGGGATGTTATTATAATGTGCCGTGCAATGTACAGTGTGAGATGCAGAGATGTTATTAGTTGAGGTCATTTAGCGAGCGGCAATGTAAATGACTTGTGTGTTTTTCTTCTTACAATTTTATTATGTAACAAATCATGTACGTCTATATGACTTGGTATGGAAGGGGTTAAAAATAACTCTAATATTAGCCATGAAGAACTGGATGGTTAGCGTTTATGAATAAGCTCAGCATCCAGTAAAAGCGATTTTGCAATTAATTGACAGATTTTCACTTTGGGAACCTTAGCTAAGAATTGCAATCTGAAGCTGCCCTGGGCCATAGTCAAGGAGTTGTAAATGTTGCTACAGTAATTGTGGAAAGACTTCATACTGATAAACTGGCTGGGCCCATGGGGAGTGCTTTGTGTTTATCAGAGCAGCGAAGCAGACCTGTTGGTTAACAGCGTGTTAAGCAGATGACGAGGTTGCTAAGAAACTCTCAAGAACCAAATGAAGGCACTTCTTGGGAAGAATAAATGAATGTTATCTACTTTATCGGGCAAGAATGGAGGAGCCATCACTTACAGACACTTAACGGCCCCTCCATTCTACCCAATTTCACTCCTATTATCCAACCTTCAAATCTTGTCATATATTCAATAAATATGGGAAAATGGGAAACGGCAAGGACTTATGAAAGAGAAACAAGAGGATAAAAATATAACGGTGTAATTCTATATGATTTGGATTTATAAAAATATCTGAATTGTGCACAGTAATTTAAAGGGATACTCCCGACACTTGGTCCATACATTAATGCATCATATAGATATTGTATTATAGAAATAAATCATATTATAAAGATAATGCATGCAAAATGTACAAAATAAATAAACAAATAACAAAATAAGATAAAATACCTTTAAAGATTCTGCAATAAACTATGCAGTTAGTTCATCGAACAATTCATCTGGAGAGCAGGACATATTCCATAAACATGTGCCGAATAAAGATTATTTTCTAAACTGGCATTTGTTTTCCCTTTATTTACAACTTCCTTATCAATTCTCCATAATTCACAGTTTAGCAAGTCAGCCCCAGAAAGGACGTCACTAAACTAGCAGTCGTGAAGAGTTCACAAAGAGAATGAAAATTATAGATCAGTTCAGCTGCAGTGTAAAAAAAACTATACTTCAGCTATCACAAAAAGTGTAAGTTTTGTAATTTATGACTTAGAGAATAAACCCCAATATTAAAGGACCACTATAGTCACCCAGACCACTTCAGCCCAATGAAGTTGTCTGGGTGCCAGGTCCCCCAGGTTTTAACCCTTCAGATGTAAACATGTTTACATTGCAGGGTTAATCCAGCTTCTAGTGGCTGTCTCACTGACAGCCGCTAGAAGCGCTTCCCCAATGCTCATTGAGAAATGCTTTCCTATGGGCGTTTTTAATGCGTGCGCGGCTCTGGCGGAGGTGAGGTCGGAGTGGGAGGAGAGGGCACCAGCGCTGAGGGAGCCCAGCACTGGATTAAAGTAAGCAGCGGGGGGGAGGGGGGGCCTGAGGGTGGGGGGACCTAAGGGTTACATATTATCAGAAAAACGAGTTTGTTTTCCAGACACTATAGTGATCCTTTAATATTACGTTATATTAAGTAACTTTGCTCAGTGACATTTTTTTGTATTCTTTACTTTGTTTGTTGTTTTGCTTTGTTTTTAAATGTTGATATAGGAACAAACAAGTACATGTTTATATGAAGATATGATATGGAAAGTGTAAATGTATTTTTTAGTGGGAAACTGTAAAATAAGGTAATAGCTCCTTATTTATTTATTGACAATCTTTATTGTATTTTCCCAGATTTGTTATGCATTACATGGAATCTTAAGAAAAGTGACAAACCAATGTTTGAACAATGCATACTAGGTTTTAGAAGTAAAGTCATGGCTTATGGGGTTAGACTTTTAGTAATTAGTCCCACAATTATTGCCCCTCTCCCGCCTCTCCCCACAACCATGTTCTAGAATTGTGACTCCTGTTATAATATACAAGGCCTCAAATATGGAGGAGAAAAAAAAAGGTCCTAGCTCTTTATTTAAATCATAATGCAGTGAAGGGCTTGACCACCCGGCACATATTAGACCATCATGCCTTAAACGTACCGGCAGGATTAAATCCCTGCTAGTACCAAGGAGTCCTAATTGGATTAAAATCGCAATTCACCTTTTGCAATATTTGTTTTATAACTTAAAACAATGAATTTAAATCCTAGACATAATGGTCATGCTATTAATCAGTACTAATTAGTGAATCTATTTTGAGTTAGTTTTCTTTAGTTGCAATTGTGTTGCAACTAAAAAAAAAGTGTAAAAAGGAGGAAATAAATGTGTTTATTCTTTTTCATTTGCATATTGTAATATTGTATTCATACATAGAGTAAGAAAGCTTTATTTCTCATTTGAACAATATATATATTCCGTGACAACCACACACATCAAAAATATTCTTTTCTCTGTTATAATTAAACTTTTTGACATATATATGAGGGATTGTAATATCGTTTTATTTAAATACAGAGATCTCTTCCTCCTTGTCTCAACCAAAATGACTTTTTTATCATATTTAAAAAGTATTATTATTTAATGTTTTATCCCATATCTATCTGTCTGTCTATCTATCTATCTATCTATCTATCTGTCTATCTATCTATCTATCTATCATCTATCTCTCTATCTAACCATCTATCTATGTATCTATCTATCTCTCTATCTAACCATCTATCTATCTATCTCTCTATCTAACCATCTATCTATATATCTATCTATATATTTACACACATGCAAGTTGTAGATAAGGGAGTGTGCTGGATTTCCTCTTTAATTATATATATATATGTATGAAGAAAATCCAGCACACTCTCTTATCCGCTAAACAGCAACTTTGGTGCTGACATATTTTTCGTTTAAAAAAAACCAAAAAACGAATCTAGGCAAAACATAATGGGGGTTTAGTTACATTATTTGATCATACATTGCATAAGACTGCTACAATGTCAATGTACCCCATCTTTGGCAGGTCCTACTCTAACAGCCTAATGTCTGCTCTTACAAGATTAACCCACAAAACCAAGGAATTGTGGTAGAACGAACACAAGATCAAAAGTGCAAAATGTCCTTGGTCACAAATGTGTTGCATCACAAAAAAGCCTCGGTCCTTAAAGGAACACTATAGGGTTAGCAATACAAATATGTATTCCTAACGCTATAGAGCCCTGGTCACCTAAACGGGCTCGCTCGGCGCTGGTGACCTCTCCTCAGGGAGACAGCCACTAGAGGCTGGATTAACCTTCAGTGAAAAATAGTTCTCTGAAACTGCTATGTTTTCAGCTGCAGGGTTAAAACTAGAGGGACCTGGCACCCAGACCACTTCATTGAGCTGAAGTGGTCTGGGTGCCTATTGTGTCCCTTTAATCATTTAAGAAGTGCCTTAAGGGGCGGGTCTTGCCTGAGCACCGGAGCAGATGCCATTCCTCCAAGCTCCGTACCACAAGCGCCTATATCGCTAGACGCCGGCTCCCTCAACGCCTTACTGACATCTGGAAAGGCAGAGCACACATCAGGACACCCTGCTGCACATGCCTATGCCTTTTTTTTTCGCGAAACACCACACTCGCGCTCCCAAAGCCTACCGCATGAGCAGACAGACTCGGGAGCTAGAGGGGCTATACCGGGTATGGAGTAACATGGCGATACCGGAGCACTATCGAGCCGACCACACTGCTGAAGAAATGGGCAGAAAGTCACAAAAACTGACTGCCCCCACAGAAAGGGCCCACGGGGACATAGGCCTCATGCTACAGGTGGTCCTTTAGGGGGTTAAAAACCAAGCAAACAAACAATCAAACAAAATGAACAGGAAAACACAGGGACACAAGGAACTAAATAAAAATACCTTTTCAGCATTGGAAAAAAAAAGGATGTGAATAAATAAATAAATATATAAAACAAAGAATCCTCCATGTATAATGTGCATCTCGCAAAGCACTTACTCAGAGGCAAACAGAGAACTGACAGATCGTGAAATGATTGCAAGTGAGATTCAAGCCAATCAGCTATATTAAACACGTTTTCTTAAGGAGAAATGATTGCCCCAGTTACATGTAAAACATTGCATTTATTCTGTGACCCAACCTTTTTTATGATGTGTTTCTGATCTATAGAATCTGGAACTTGTGCAGATCCACATGGCCTATCCTGGGTGGGGGCAATGAGACGAGCAAGCCAATGGCAAAACTACAGGGATTATATGTGTGACCGGGCTCCTGCGTTCTGCTTATTGCAGGAGAACCAGGAAGGGAGCCTGCGAAGCAAGCGCTTATTAACGACCGCAAAGTAGGCACCTGCTTAACTGGATGGCAGGTGCCATTTCTGCCAAAATAAACTAGTGGGGAAAGAGGAGGCAGGCAGCGGAAAAAGAGATCTGATGTTATTGCTCTTTAAGTTCCTCACTGCTCCCTCGTACCATGTAGGACCACCTCCACCAGATACATGATGCTTGGAAAGTAAGACTGTCCATAAGATTCTGTACTTAGGCCTATGATAATTGTCAGCACAAGGCCCAGCGGGCTCTTAATCCAGCCCTACGTCTATAAGCAGGAGTGGTCATGGAGGTTGGAGTAACCTTTTAAATGTTTCACATTTATGCTTGCATGGTGGCACCTGGGCGGGAGACAAGAGAAAAAACAATCACACATTCTCCTTCCTTGTTCTAGTCTTCAGTGTACTCTCCCATGTGCATGATTTTGAATCAGCAGGTGTCTGTAGCATAGGGAAAGAGGGACAGGTGCCGCTAACCCAGCCTCCCCCCAGAATCTGCCTTTCCTTTAATGTAAATTGGGGCTAAGAGTAAATTGGAGCCATACATATTATGGATGGTAAATGTTCTGCTGAGGTCGCAATAGAAAATCCCACAATAGTGCAGGATCTTATCACACACATTGCTCAGAAGATGCCTGTCCGCAGGCCAACTAAGAATCTCTGAATATAAACGAAATCTGTTAAAATGAGCACATTTCATAACAATGCAGTTAAA